TACGTAAAAATTTAACTTATTATTTTACTCTATTGGTTTCGAAAAAAAAAGTAATATATATTAAAATGTGTGTATTATTAAAAAAAAAAAAAAAAAAGAGAGAGTAGGTAAGAATACAAAAATTTTAAACTACAATATGATTAATCTTGATAAAAGCATAGCATCCGATTGGTTAAGAGCACGAGACATGACATTGGAATGTAGGTTCATAGAGAAGATTTTCGTTTAAAATAGTTTTGGTATCAGTATGAGTACTTTTTCTATGAAAATTGAATGGAGGACCACTTCACACGAATAATAATTAATTGGCGGTTCATGCATCGCGGCATCGATACATCACTGTCAGGAATTTTTATTTTATTTTTCTTCTTCTTATTTTAAGGTAAGAGTAATCAATTTTTCTTCTATGAGAATCCTATTCCTATTTAACATTGAATCTCAATCTCGTGGCTGCTACTCTCGTGTGACAGCTCTGAACAACCAAGAGAATCTAGGAACAGTGACTAAAATGTCATTGTTCATCAATTTTTTTACCAAAATGTCACACGAACAGTATTATTTTCTAATATGCCACGTGGACGAGTTCGTTACAGTGCCCAGCGAACTCGATTAGCTGACGTGTCACATTTTTAGTGGATACAGTACCAAATTCGTTACTCCCAGCAACGAACTTGGTTGGAATGTCAGGTTTTTTCAATTAAAAAGTCCAACCAGTAGCGAACTTGGTACTGTATCCACTAAAAACGTGACACGTCAGCCAATTGAGTTTACTGAGCACTGTATCGAACTCGCTCACGTGGCATATTAGAAAATAACATTGTTCGTATGGCATTTAGGTAAAAAATTGATGAAAAGTGACATTTTGGTGAGTATCCCGAGAACCTACTGGTCAATCCATTCACATATGACAAAATTCCCAATCCCTAAGATTAACCAAATAAAAAATAAAAAATAAAATCTATACTATTATCCTATACTCTCTAAGTACTATAATGCATTTAAGTTATTAGGAGAAGATATATTTATTATTTTATATTATATTATATTATTTTTTAAATTTTTTTATTTTAAAATTTTTGTATAATTGAAATGTGGTAAATTTATATGTCTACTATATTTTTTTTTTAGAATTTGAGATATGAATATTTTATATAGACTCATAACATCAAGAGTCATTTCTTAAGGAGGATAGGAATCAAATTATAAATCTTCATATGGTAGACATCTGATATTATATAAAATAATTAACTCTCCTAAAAATTTAAATTATTATATAAAGACATTAATTATTTTACAGTATCATGTTTCTTAACAAACTTTTTTTCTTTGGATCATTTAATATTGTTATATAAGAATTAAAAAAATTATTAAATAGTGATTACTACAAGCATAACTTGTCATATTTACTAAAATTATATTTTATTAAATTTTTCATAAAGTACTATTAATTTATTAATTTTTCCTTCGTTTATCAATATTATCATTAAATTTAATTCAAAATGTATATAAAAAATAAAAAAAATAAAAATTCGAAATAAAAAAGAACAAAACGAGTAGCATGACTGAATATACATATATATTTTTTTGATACATGCATGACTGAATTTTATATATTGGAAGATATTAATAATAGTTTTGTTAACTAGTGCCCACAAAGCTCAAATTAAGATATAAAAAATAAAAATACTAAATGAAAAGGAAAAGCATGTATTATTTTGAAAATTTAATACTTTCATTTTAAGTAATTATGATGTTTCGGAAATGAATATAATATTATTATATTATTTTTATTCCTTAATCTTTGCTTAAAGGCGCATGTTAAGAAATTCTATAATGTAATGCATTAATAGAATAAACCATGTGTTAGCAAAAGGTTCACTAAAGTTTCATCCAAATTGTCTGCAAAAAAAAGTTTTCATCCAAATTTTCAAAGTAAGCTAATCGTAGCAACAACAAAAAATATTGAGTAACGCCACTAAACACGTGACTCAATTGGTATTAAGTTGTTTCAATTTAACCAATAATCTTGAGTTCGAGTCCACACGATATCACTTAGAGACACTATTGGATACTCTTAAATTGCATCTTATATATTTTTATTTCTACTCTTTAAATTTTTGTTCTATATTATAGGTGAGACGTTACAATAATTATTTACTCATGCATTAATCTCAAAATATACAGCTTACTAAAAACAACCTCCCAATAATATTAAACATTTTCTAGCCGCAATCAATTCGCTCATGTGACATTCTATAGACCTATAATTTATGTACTTTGTATGTATAGATTTACTATTGAAACTAAGTATGTTGCAACTGAAAGTTATTATGCACAAATTATTTGGATGAAGCAATTCTAGAATATAGACTATTAACTTGATCACATTCCTGTCAGTTATGAAACACTAGTGATATCTGCTTTACTAAGAATCTCATCACATTGAAATAAGGTATCATTAATAAGGTGATCGGAGGAGGTTGAATGAGGCTATCTTCAGATTATATCAATAATAATAATAATAAGAAGGTAACATTTCATATGAGAAAATGTGAGAAATAAAATAAAATAAAATAATAAGAATGGAATACTAAAGTTTGTAGAGACATCTAAGCAATTCACAAATATTTTTACAACCTTTACCTAAAGACACATCAATCATTTAATTCAAGGTATTTGAGCTACAATAATTGTCTATTCTCTAGCGTCAATTCTTATATTGTGATCTGCACATATCTCACACGCGGGATTATAAGCCCAACCACTGAAAGGCCCAACAGGCCCAAAGACTATTATTTAATAAAAGAGGAAACATGGTCATTCTATGTATCTTGACAATCTCACAACTATCTGAACACGGGATCAAAAGCTCTGATAATTGTGACTACACGACATTAGCTGCTCAGAATAATGCCACCCTTTCAGAATAATGCCACCCTCATACGATCCAACAGCTTGAGGACAACCACCTGCATGCCGCCTATGAAGTACCGATACTTCAAAAATCCTGACGTGTCGTTGCAAAGACTAAAAAAAGGTTCAAAGGCTACGTTGCGTTGCATCTTGATTTTCAACTATTATATTCGTTAGATTACGATTACGATTTTATTAAGTTTAATATAAACATTTGAGATATATTATGTTTCTTTACAAAATTGATAGGTATTATAAGTTTAGCTTTATTTTTTTGTTAAATTATTGAACACTAAATATAATATACACTACATAAATTAAAAATATTGTATAATATCAAAATGTGTCCTAACGTGTCGAAATTTAACATTTTTTAGAATTAACATGTCGGAGTGTCGTGTCGTATCTCGTGTCGGTGTCGGTGCAACGTAGCATGCCGCCATATCTACGAAAGGCTTAGCCTGACTATATGTATCTCGTCCAAAGAGAAGCCTATAAAGATTAGCTCTCTCCACCAATAGGCATAACCAAGACGCTCATATACTATAAATACAGAGGCATTAAGCCCAGGTATGATCATCTTCTCATCACTACTTGAACCCTTGAATATTTACTGACTTGAGCGCCGATGTGCCTTGCAGGTAACTTCTCCAATCTCTCTAAGCTACTCTAAAAACATCAGTCTATGCCCAAGCATCTCGCCAACCAACTAGACATCCCATAAACATAGTATCAGCTAAAACCCAATTCCCCAATAGCAAACTTAATATTATTTGAGTGAATTATTTAAGTCTATGCGTGAATAGTTATTGGACAGATAATATTAATTTATATTTTTATGGTTAATATTATTTGAGTGAGTTTATGTTTTATATTCATCCGAAAAATACAAGTATCAAGGGTCGTTCTACTTGCATTGGTGTCGGGCACATTCAAACAAATAATTTATACAACCATATATAATTTAAGGAAAATGTACTTCTCCTTCCATGGGAGAAGAGATTTTTTGCAGCAACTAATTAACACTATGTCTTACTGATAAGATATTAAAAAACTATTTTTTTCTCACCTCAAAAGCAAAGTTGTTAAAATCGAGATTTTAAGTAAAATCGGAAGGGTGCTAAAAAATTGTAAAACGTAAAATCGTAATGTAAAAAAATCGTAAGAAATCGTAAAAACGTAAAAGCGTTTGGAATATTGGTAAAATCGTTTTGATGAAAAAAAATCGTAAAAACGTAAAATCATAATGATAAATCAAAATTTTAACAACTATGCTCAAAAGGCGATCGGATGATATGGCGGAGAGAGAAAAAATAATTTTAATATTACAACTATATTTTATTAATAAGACAGTATTAATTGGCTGCTGCAAAAAAAATTCTTCTGCAGTGAAAGGAAAAGTTGGGGACCCATAATTTAATTCACCTTTTTACCCTTATTTTCAACCAAGATTTGCTCCCATTATAAAGTAAATTAAGATTATTCTAGTCCAAATCACCTCACTTTCATTCTCAAATTTCTTATTTCTCCCGTAGTAATTCTATTACATTTGTAATATCTATCTTGTTTATGCTATCTAGTATTGCTTTGTTGGAATTAAATATGTTTAAATAGACCGCATTAGAGGGTTTTTTTTTTTTTTTTTTTTTTTTTTCATTTTGTGAAAATCCATTTCTTAATATTAATAACGAGAATCTTGTTCAACATTTTCACATCATTATGTTTCTGTGTAATTTTTTCCCCCATCTGAGTGTAAACCTAAATACTTGAAGTTTATTTCTGGTATGCAGGTATAAATCTTGCCCTCCCTAGCCCAAAATCGCGGGTCCGTCAAAAAAGATAACAATAATTTTCAATGTTAATTTATCACTCGATTGCAAGTGTACATTCACCATGTCAAGATTTATTATTTATTTAAATTTAATAATGATATATAACTTCTGAATTATTTAGTTTTTTATATAAAAAATAGAAAAAAACTATTTTATTAACTATAACTATGAACTTTTTTTAGAATGAAATTCTATCGTGAAAATATAGAAAGCGTTAAAACACCAAATTGCATCATTAAGATATAAGATGCCGTGGCTTTACACAAACAAATAAATAGAAGATAAAAAGAGAAAAATACAACAAAAAGAAACGAAAAATAAAGATAATAATCTCTTATAAATGCAAAAAGGCCACTACGAGTGGACATCATGAAACAATAATAATAACATTTATTTATGCTTCAGAACAATAACAATAACAAGTGGACAAATGTAGATATTTCTATCCCGTTTGACGAGTGAGAAGCGAAAGATACTAGAGGAAGTCAACCAAGCATCCACATGAAGAAGGTGCACCAAAGCGTGAGACTTAATGTAGCAACAGCATATGTCCATAGCATGATAAGGGAACATTCACTCTCAGCAACACCAAGCAACTGGACAATCGTACCTACCAAGTTCAGATTACCGACATAAATGTAAAAAATGCCTTCTGATATCAAATATTATCTAGACTTGATTTATGAAAGAAATAAATCATTAAGTGTTAGTTAATGATAAGAGGTTTGGATAGTATTGGACTGCAGCAACGAGAGCAAAATAATACAGTATCCCCATAACCTCTCCCCTAGCTAAGTACCATAGTTATTTAGGGTGTGCATGATATCGTTTCCATACATGTTTTTATCTTTATATTTAATATTGGGAACAAAAATGATTAGAAATAGTGTTTGACAAATCTAACTTGTTTTCCCCGGGATCACAACTTTGCAGAAATAAAAAATACATTTTTATTTTTTTTGCTTTTTTATTTCCTGGACACTATTTATTAAATAGTGATATCATCGAATGTGCTATGCAAATTAAATACACACTTTATTGAAAAAAGCTTATTATATATGCTCTCTTTTTGCAAATAGAAATAAGTTGTGTTATCAAATTTTTTTCCCATAAATTCTTCCTAACTTTATCGTAGAATGTGTCAGAAAAATAGAATCGTTATTATGCAGACCCTAGTTGCCAACCTAATCACCATACCAATAAATATAGTGTATATGTTGTTGAATAATCTTATCAATTACAAAGACCTAATAAGAGAATTCTCCTTCCCTAAGGTTTCCCCTTTCAACAACATAGATAATGCTCAGTTTCGAAATGATAATAAATTAGAATATGCCCCCACTTCTATTTAAATTAATTCCCTACCTACCTTTAACAACTTTAACCTCCCAACATAACTATTGTAACTAACTACTCTCTGGCCATTTCAGATCCTAAAATAAAAATACAATCTATGCTACGCCTTAAGCCCATCCATTTAAGTGGTGCAAATGATTCTGAGCTTGAAAACTGGAGTCAAGGAGAATTATACATTTGAGCACAAAAGAAAATTTTACAACGAAGCAATGGAGCATAGACCATGGAAAAACTATTTACAAGGCGAAAGACATATCAAGCAGAACAAGTTGTATACCGGTTGAAGTAAAATTTGAGAAAGTCATCATACCTACAGTTGTTGCAGGTGGAAGCGCATATTGAAGCATAAGAACAAACTGATATAATGAATACGATCCCACAAATCCCCAATGATGTGCAGCCTTAACAATAATAATACCCACGATAGGTGATATTATGAACCGCACTGCCATAATCCCCATAATCAGGAACAAGCTTATTCCAGACTTCTTTAAACCTGGCAAATGGAAAACAAACCATCAAAAGAGAAATATGAAAGAACATTTAAGAAAAACTCCAAGTTTTTTAAATTTCAAAAGGTAGAATTGTCAACTTTATATAAAAAAGAGAGAATGATTTGATAAACTACCATCAAGAAGATTTGCTCCTACTATCAAAGTCATAGACACAATTGTTGCATCCCTACAATTTACACAATAAGGATAAGAATGATAATACGATATAACACATAAAAATTTCTCTTCAAAGAATTTTGCTTGTACCAAGCAGTTAGTTTAGTTGAACCATAAACCCACTGCTTAATTTCAACAATGAAAAAACAATGAATAAGGAAATTTTTGATACACCATGAATGCAAGAACAGCAATTAATCTTTAACAAGTTCATGCAGGCTTGGTTTTTGGAAAAAGTGCAGTCATGAATCCAGTAACAACTACAGTGATTGACTTAGATCAAATTTCTTGATCAATGCAACGTTCTAATGCCATGACCCCTCCGGTGCTGCACCACTGCTTTTATTAATAAACTATTCTTCACAATGCTATCTCATCTAAGTCATCAATGCCATCAAGACTTAACAATGATTTCATGCCTTTTAAAAGAGCTATATTGGTACACTCCATATTAGAGGCTTTTATGCTAATAAGCCATTAGAAACACATGTTGTAAATCTGTGCATGACAATATCAATCTCAGCTTTAGCATGTACTATAGTTATTTGCAGCGATTTGCACTGGAAGCTGCAATTATTTGAATAAAGCACATAAAATATGATGATACATTAGCAGTATCCCAAAATAAGGAGTAATTCAAAGATGCGCTGCATCTTGCAAGAATATGATACAATAAACTGAATTTTTTAAGTGTTCTTATATAATCAGAAATGGAAAATCTAGATCTTTCACTTTCAGAGATATAAAGAACTCATACCCGACTAAAGATGCAGAACTGATAATCACACGAAGGGGAGCACTATCACCAACCATGAGCTTTTGAATTGGAGAGACTGCTCCGATGATAAATCCAATAATCTGAAGGAAACCAAAAAATAAAATTAAGTTGGCACATTCACATGTTGCAAAACTAACAACTAAGGATCAATTATTATGTTATTCAATGATGGATTCAGGTATTAACACTGAAAACTCAGAGAACCAAACTCCAATTACAAGGAAAACTACCAGAAAACTAGGAACTGTACTTAGTAAAAAAAACGAATGCAAGAAAAGATGGACAATCAGAGCTGCAAATCAGACTCTGCCCCTTGGCCTAAGCCACCCAAATGATTACCAGTTTCTGTTATGACCTCCAACTCCAACTACTCTCGTCTCCCTCCTTTTGCATAATTGCCATCTCCAATTCCCTGCTGCCACGTGTACATTCTGTTAAATCCTCCCACAGGCGTGTCCTCTTCACCCTTCGCAACATCTTTATTTTTGCTCTCTTAACCACATAACCTCCCTTGGCCCAAGTGCCCAACTTTCTCTAGCCCACTCTCCTTCCTTTCTCTTCTCTTATACACGTGTCAAGGGCCCATCATTGAACAAAACACATTAGTTCGATACAGAGGTGTAAAAGAACTCTTCCCAAGTACATATTTAGTTGCTTATTGATCAATCGTATCCCACATAACAAGATGTTAGAAGGCATTTACTGAATCAAGTTTCCACTCTTGTATAAACTTAGAGAACTTCAAATTTAGATGCAACTCAACAACCCAATCAGATTATCCATTTACGCAAAAAGTAGTTGGATCCATTGCATCTCAATAAAGATTCGGAAACCTACTGTAATGTAGAGTTACTGCACTTTGCACCTTGGTAACATTGCTTCAACATTGTCCTCTTTGGTGCTCAAAACCAGCTGGAGATAATCTTCTAACCTAGACTTTTTTTTTTAATTATCTTTCTTCAGCATTTGCTTCTTTAGATCCAACCCCTGTTTCCTCTTGTAAATATTTCTAGTTTTCCTCAAAAACTCAGTAAAATAATTCCATGGCTTCAATTAAAGCCATTTTTGAAACATTGCAAATCGAAAAATCATCCAAGGGCAAGTAGAGCAAGAGATACCAAAATTTATGCATTGGGATCTGTGACATGTATCCCTGATATATTTCCACTCATCAGATAGCTAGATTTATTACAAATATACTCAAATACAAAATCCATACTTCATTTCTTACCAATCATCTTCTGTTTAAGGAGAACCATACCATGTTGCCCTATATTCTATTTAAACTGCCCAGATTCTACAAAGAAAAGATTAAAGTTAGTGACATTATGGCCTCAATTGGCCAAAAAGCATCACAATTGGCATGAATGAAGATCAAGTTCATCTAATCTTGGCCAAACTATGGATGGTCACGCTCTCATTTTGTTACAAAATTTTCATGAAATGAAACAAAGGAAGGGCAAGTTGGTTGAGAACTTGAGATTAGCTCTTAAATTCTGATAGGAAAGCAACTTCAAAAGGCTTGAAGCCCAAAACGGATAAATTGTCTGACTCAATTTTAGTGTATCAACGAAGAGCTAAGGCAAGATAGGGAAAGAAGGGTGCTGAGCTGGAATGAATTAGTTTTGGCATTGTGGTGCTTGATTTTGGTTAAGGAGAGAGAGTATGACATAATCTGTTAGTCTGTTGCTCTATATGAGTAGTGTTAGTTTTTTTGGCAGAATTTACATTTTTCTTTCTCCAGGGGTAAAGAGGGGCTGAGGAATGTTTCTCCAAAGCAGGGAGCATAGTTGCTCATATTTTCCTTGTTCTGCATTATACTGTATTGTTTTTTTTCTGCATGCATATATACAATTTCTCCCTATTTTCTAGATAGGAAATTCAAATTCTATCAAATTGGTGCTTTCATTGAGAGTATTTAGGAGGGAGAATTTTGATGGTTTATACTCACACGAATGACGTCCCAAAAGATCGATGCTCTAGATGCATGAATAGCAGCCGACAAATCATTTCTCAAGTCGTCGGAGACGCTTTTGCGTTCTCACGATGTGACGTCAAAAGCTCACACCTTCCAACTTTCTCTGATCACTCGACTTGGGTTGTCTAGTTACAAGTGTTGCTGAAAAAGCTAAGAGCTTATCAGCTCTACACGCGGAAGTACGTGATGGGTTTCAACAGCGACAACTCTCGTCAGCAACTCCAATCAGCATCATGGCAGAAGAAGGAGGGAGCGGTGTTTCGAAGGAGAATGAGAAGGTGAGTATCGGAAAATCCGAATTACAGGGGAAGGAAATTGACAAGGAGGCAAGATCTGATGATTACCGTATGTCCGCGAAGTGCATAGAGTTACCAGTTTTTAATGGCATCGATCCTGTAGGATGGGTTGCCCGTGCTGAAACCTATTTCGCCGTTCAGGGAACCCCTTTGACAATGTGCCTTAAGTATGCCCAAATTTGTATGGATGGCTCCTCTTGGCATTGGTTCAAGGTCTTGAAGGAATCTGATCCACAGCTCAATTGGGAGCGTTTTAAGCACGCTATGTATAACTGGTATGGGGATAACCATTTTGGAAATCCCTTCACCAAACACAGGTTTGTTTTAGAACGAAACAATAGATGAATATGTGGAGAGTTTTGAAATGCTCACTGTCCAAGTTCCTCCCCTACCTGACGAGCAATATATGGGGCTATTCATTGGAGGGTTGAGAGAAGATATTAGGTTGGAGCTTTTGTCCTTGGAACCAGCCAATAGGTACAAGATGATTTCCATGGCACGAATGGTGGAGCGTAAGATTCAAGGAGGAAGAATGCCATCTGCGATGCGGGAAAATAGTGGTTTCCATAGGAGTGTGGTAACTATGACTTCAGGGATAGAGGAGAAACAACAGGGCAAGAACAATGCCATGGGTCAAGTTCGGCCCAATAAAACTGACGATAAGAGAAGTGGGCCCAGTCCACAAGGAGTTCGTAATTTATCGTATCAAGAAATGATAGAGAGAATAACCAAGGGCTTGTGTTTTAAATGTGGCCAAAACTACAGCCCAACACATCAATGCCCTGATAAGCAACTTCGCTTGCTGATTTGGGAGGAAGACGAATCCATTGGTGAGCCAAAGATCTAGTAGTTGTCGAAGAGAAGAAAGACCTAGAAGAATGGGAGTTGGTGTGCAACAGGGTAGATTACAAGGGGGTATGACAGAGATGGCCCAATGGAAAACTATGAAGATTGAAGGCTGTAAAGAACCTTGGGATACACCACCCCAAAAGCTAGCTCAAAGGGTGGGAGTGCCCAAGGCCTTATAAACTCCACATTAGTTGCACATACAACCAATGTGGGACTATATATCTCAACACGCCCCCTCACACGAGAGCCCTTTGGGCTTGAAGCGTGGACAATGCAACAGGCCCAGCCTACCTGTGCTAAGAAACTCCACAAGAGAAAGTGGGGGACGGCGAGACTCTGATACCATGTAAAGAACCTTGGGATACACCACCCCAAAAGCTAGCTCAAAGGGTGGGAGTGCCCAAGACCTTATAAACTCCACATCAGTTGCACATACAACCAATGTGGGACTATATATCTCAACACGCCCCCTCACACGAGAGCTCATTGGGCTTCAAACGTGGACAATGCAACAGGCCCAACCAACCTGTGCTACGAAACGTCACAAGAGAAAGTGAGAGGCGGCGAGGCTCTGATACCATGTAAAGAACCTTGGGATACACCACTGATGTGCCTCTGGCAAGTGTGGTTTTTCCATGTTAAAATTGATAAGAATTGAGTCATAAGAGAGTAATTTAAATACATATTTGCTATTTATATTGATTCTTTCTATGTCAATAATATTCACCTTTTGGTTGTGTTTTTACAGGAAAAGAGGAGTGAAAATTACAAATTACAAAAAGCCTGTTGACGCGACTCTACACATAGGAAATTTCACCCGGGTGCTGCGCAGGCCAAATACCAGAGAATTGGCGCTAGTTGGCGCCAGATTGGCGCAAACTAGCGCCACACATATTAAGCACCAACATTATGGCGCCAAGTGGCGCCCAAAGACAAGAAAACTGCAACAAGGAGGTGGCGCCGGTCCACGCAATCGGTTCCGACTTTTCGTATTCGAGGCAGCAAGTTGGCGCAAACGTGCGCCAAACCGGCGCCAACTGGCGCCGGGTTGCGAGAAAATAACACCGTCTTTCCGCGGGGGTATTTTTGGAAGAAGGAAAAAATAAGTTTATAAATAGGATCCTTGTGCTAGACCTAGATCATCTCATTCCATTCAAGAGGAGGCCGACGGCAGAGCTCAGAAGGATTCTTCCACAGTTCTTCATCTTCATCTATTTCTCTGTAATTTTATACTTTTGAATATTGAATTATTTTCGGCCATGATTATGCTTGGCTAGTTTTCTTTTATTGTAGTTAGGGTCACGAGCCCTATGTGAACCCTTGTTACGATGGATTGATTTAGTTTTATTCATTTATATAATTATCTTTGTCTCTACCTTGTGCGTATTTTCTATTTTCTTTTTTAGAACTGATCAATCTGATAGTTGGGAATAGTTTGATGGTTAGAACCCTAGATAAGAATATTGGGGTTTTGATCTTGAAAGGGGGTAGGACAACAATTGGTATGCATGCTAGGAATAGATGTGTATTTAATTGCAGATGCTTAAATTATTGCGTTCATTGCTTAATACCATGAGGAACATTGCAAGGAATTGGGGTTCCAATTGGGAATTAAAGGGTTAACCTTGCAAGGAATTGAGGGTTAACTAATAAATATTTTTAGATAATAATTTATCCGAGTAATTATATGAATAAATATTGTGAATCAATCCAAAGTAAGAAGTGGGGATCATAAGGTGAGTGCGCTCTAGCTACAATATTTTTCTCATATTTTAAAAATCAAATATCATCGTTATCATTTTATTTCTCTTAAATAAAAATATAAAAACAAGTCTTTATTTTTATTTCATATTGTTACTCGAATTCAATTCACAATTTTTCAAACAACAAACCGAGTTTTCCAACTTAAGGGGACTGGTTATTGTAGTACTTGGTTTACAATCCCTGTGGAGACGATACTCTACTTACTCATTATATTACTTGTGCGATCGGTATACTTGCCGGAGAGCATCAAGTTTTTGGCGCCGTTGCCGGGGATTGTTAATTCCAATATTACAAATAACTATTGATCTTTGAGATTGGAGTTTTATTTTTATTTTTTTATTTTATTTTATTTATTTTGTTTTATTTTGTTTTATCTTATTTTGTGTTCTACAGGTGCTACTAACATATTTTTCCGAGTTTTATGCGAGGACCTCCCCCTACAGAGTTTGTAATTGATCCTAAAATTTCAAGGACTGAGAGGAGACTGAGGAAGGTTGCCAAGCAGATAATTTGGGAAGACTTCAAAAGCATACCTGTACAACCAAAACAAGAAATGGCAGGAAACAACAATGCTGATGGTGGCAGAGGCCACAATGCAAATAACCCACCTCCACGATTGTTGGACACCATTCTGACTCCGGTGTTCAATAGGCCAAATTCAAGTATAATCAGGCCAACGGTGGAGGCAAATAATTTTGAGCTGAAGCCATCTTTGATTACTTTGGTGGAAAGGGTTCAGTTCTCTGGTGCTGAGGAGGAAGATCCTCATGAGTTCATAGATCGATTTCTGATGATCTGTGACACTACCAAGCACAACGGAGTGTCGGCCGATGCTGTAAGGCTTCGATTATTCCCTTTTGCTGTTAAAGGAAAAGCTCTCAGATGGATAGAAAGGCAGCCAGCTAATAGTATCACAACATGGGAAGACTTGTCATCAAAGTTCTTTGCCCATTTCTTTTCTATGGAAAAATACAACCAGCTGGTGAATGAAATCACAAACTTCCGCCAACTTGAAGGAGAATCACTATGTGCAACCTGGAATAGATTCCAGGAACTCATCCAGAAGTGTCCGCACTATGAAGGAGACGATGACAGAAATGTGGCAATATTCTTTCATGGCATCTCTCCTGAAACAAGGTTGGTGATTAATAGTGCAACTGGAGGTTCTATTCAGCAAAGTACTTCTGAACAAGCCATTGATTTGATAAAGAAGCTGGCAAGGAATGAGAATGAGAGCATACCAGCTCAAATGAAAAGAGGGGTGATAAAACTGGAAAGCAATGATGCGATGCTTGCTGAACAAAAGCTGTTGTCCAAAAAGTTTGACAGCTTGAATGAGAAGTTTGAGAAAATGCAAGTGTCCAAGGTTCAATCAACTTCTGTGGTTTGTGAATATTGTAAGGAAGCTCATGAGTCTAATGAGTGTCCTACTCTAATGGGTGATAATCCACAGCAGTTGCAAGTGAATGGGGTTTGGTATGAGCAGAAGCCCCCACAAAATTTTCAAAGAAATCAGAATTCTCTTGGCAGAAATAATTTTCAGAGGAAAGGTCAAGGAGGTGGTCTTGATTATAGTTCCAACAACTTTCTGCAACCTCCTCCTATTCCACAGAAGGAACTTTCTGATTTGGAGAGGTTAGTTGGACAAATGGCTCAACACTCCAATGCTTTTATGGAGGAGACTAGAGCCAATACAAAGAACACAAATGCTTTCATGGAAGAGACTAGGGCTAATACCAGAAACATGAGTGCTTCCATCAGAAATCTGGAGAATCAAATTGGCCAGCTGGCCAAGCAAGTTTCTGATAGAACTCCAGGTAATTTCCCTAGTAACACAGTCACCAATCCAAGGGAGGATTGTATGTTTGTCACCAATAGAAGTGGTAAAGTGGTAGCAGCTTCAGAAAAGCCGAGAATAAATGTGGAAGCTGAAAAGAAGTTGGATACTACAGGAAAGCAAGAAAAAGACAAAGAACTTGAAAAATCTGCTGAAATGGAGAAGCCAGTTGAAAAGAAAAAGTTTGAGCTGAGTCCTGAATATGTAAGAAACATGGCACCCTATCCTGAAAGGTTCAAGAAGGATGCTCAGAAGCAACAGTATGCCAGGTTCCTTGACATATTCAAAAAGCTTCACATAAATCTTCCATTTGCTGAAGCCTTGGCTTGCATGCCTAATTATGCCAAGTTCATGAAGGACTTGTTATCAAGAAAGCATAAGCTGCAGGATTGCCAAACTGTAACACTCACTGAGGAGTGTAGTGCCATTATACAGAAGAAGTTCCCACCCAAACTCAGTGATCCAGGGAGTTTCAAAATCCCTATTGAAATTGGGGACACAAAAATTGGCAGAGCAATATGCGATCTTGGGGCTAGCATTAACTTGATGCCCCTTTCTGTTTGTAAATCTTTGGGGATCACCGAGTTGAAACCCACTTTGGCATCTCTTCAGCTTGCTGATAAGTCTTTGAGGAAGCCTAGTGGTATTATTGAAGATGTTCTTGTGAAGGTGGACAAGTTCATCTTTCCTGCTGATTTTGTAGTGTTGGACATGGAAGGGGGAGCTGAGATGCCTCTTTTGTTAGGTAGACCTTTCTTGGCCACTGCTCGGGCACTGATTGATGTTGAAAACGGGAAGCTTGAGCTAAGGATGAATGATGAGACCTTTACCATCAACGTCTTTGATTCTCTAAAACAGTCTTCTCACAAAGATGATTGTTTTAGTCTTGAAGTAAAGGAAAAACAAAGTGTAGCGGATGATGCCAAGGAAGATGGTGCCATGAAGATGGATTGGAAAGAGCTTCCTCAACCTCAGAAAAATGTCTTCTTGAGTAATAAGGAGGCGGTGATTGAAGCATTGAAGGAAGAGGAAACTGAATTGAAAAATAAAGTTCCCTTTTCCCATACCAACAAAATTCTCAATGAGGATGATGACAAACCTGGGAGGAAATCCAAAAGGAGGCGTCATCCTATGCTGAAGAAGGTACTGAGAAAGGAAGTGGTGAAACTCTTTGATACAAGTTGGAAGAGACATCAGGAGCTGAAGTTTGACAAAAGACACCGAGACTCTATCTCTCGGAAAAATCAAAATTTCAAAGAGTTCTTAACATGGCTCCATGGTTTGGAGCAAATCTGGGAATGGTGGTCTCATACACCAAGGCAACCAGTACCACCGGACCTTCCATTTGCTGAGTCATCCCACTCTGCTGAGGGGGATGACGTGAAGGGTTGATTATATCTCCTTGCTGATGGAGATTTTGTATATTAGTTTATTTTTTTTTATATTTTTTTCTGTTTCGTATTTTTCTTTTAGTTACTTTGTGTTAGTATATTTTTCTCTGATATTTTGATGTGCGCATTATAGTCTATTCTATATGCCACTGTTTGTTCTATTGTGCAGGTTTTTCTTCCTTTTTGTGGTTTAATTATTGCTGAGGACAACAATTCTCTAAATCTGGGAATGGTAGGCTTGCACCTGAGAACTGCTGCAATTCTTCTATCAGGGGAGATATTTTAACTCTTTTAATTTTCTTAGTTATTTTTATAGTATTTTGTGTGCTATATAAAAAAAAAAAAAAAAAAAAAAAAATTGAACATGTTTTCTGAGCAAGTCTCAGGTTTAGATATGTTTTCCCTAGTTAATTTGCCTGATTAATCATAGGAATCATGTTTTGTATGAACTTCTGGCATAATATTGTATTGGCATGAGTAGATTTCATGATTGCTCGTTTGTCTGAATTTTGTGCTTGAATGATTAATGATGCCTGATGTTCTTTTGGAAGTCTAGCTTGACATCATAGCTGGTGAGGTTTTGTGCTTAAACACTTATTTTATTCTGAGAGACCTCACTGTGCTAGCATTCTAGAACTTGCTCTGTTTCTCTGTTATGCATGTATTGATTGATATGATAAAGGCATTTTGTTCTTGTTAGCTATTGGCCAAAAATAACCCACCTGTATGAATTTTTCCATTGTTAGCCCCCTTGAGCCTGAACTTATTTGTTGTTAAATGACCTGTGGCCTGATTGATGGCTTAGCCTATATCCATATGACTTACCTTGATTGAGATTGAATTACTGAAATGTTGAAAAGAAAACAAATAAATTGAGGTAAGCTCCACAGAGGTCAAATAATTAGGGGAGGTAAAATTTCAATTGTGCCCTTAAAACAAAAAGTTATGAAAAAAGAAAAAGAAAAAGGGTGAATGTAAAGAAAAGGTGGCTGAAAGGAATTAATTCCCGAAATTCTGTGGGAATGTTAGTGGAGCAAAATCATTGAGTTGAATGTGTTAAAAATGAAATAATATCAGGTTTTCAATCTCAGTGTTGTTTGAGTTACTTTCCATATATTCCTACCCATTAAACCCGGCCAAGTTACAACCTGTGAAGTCCTTTTGATCAATTATGCATGTGTTAATGTTCCTTATCTTTAGGAACTTGAGAATTTGATCAAGCTTATGGTAATGTTATTGCTGTGATGGATTGAGTGATTGTTACTCCCTTAAACACTTGAGTGCTGAGTGCTATATGATTATCTTGGTGAGG